GGCGGCCGAGGGAGGGTCCTGCAGCGCGCGGTAGAAGCTGCTGTCGCAGCGACACACTCGCGCCGCTCGGCTCTCCGAGTGGCTGTGCAAGGGGCACTTGGCACACAGCTGGTCCCCAGGGGCTGACTTGTAAAATCCCAGCTGGCATGCTGCAGAGGAGGGAAGGGCAGAGGTCAGAAGGATGTGCTTGCACGAGGAGCATTCCACAGCTCAGAGGATCTCACTGGCACAAAGCTGGACCATGTGCATGGCTCTGGCCAGTGGACCCACGTCTCCTGCAGGAAAGGAACCTCCAACAGGATGAAGTGGAGGGAAAGGAGGATGAAAAAGGACACCATGAAGTAGAGAAGAGTTGCACTGGGCAGCAGTTTGTCCCCAGCACCCACCCCAGCTCCCAGAACCAGCATATAGCATAGAGTTCACATCTCCTGGGGATCCCAAGTCCATCACCAAACAAGCCCTTGGCTGTTAGGGCAGGTTCTGGCTCCTGCAGATACTGGCTGGAGCAGCATCAGAGCACCCTCAGCATCATCCACACAGCAAAGCCTGGGGAGGAGTGTCTGCTCCTGCCCCCACAGTGCGTGGGAAACCAGCCCTTCTGCCCAGCTCCTGGGTGAGACCAGCTGCAAAATGGGCTCTGGGGAAAATTTTAGCTGTCCTCAGGCTGCATTTACTGCTGTCTTGGCACCTGTTCCCCATAGTTTCCCAAGCAAACTTGGGTGGCTAAGCCTTTCATGAGCTGCCTGCAAATCTCCAGGTGCTCTCCTCACCCCTGTGCCTGCTGCCCAGAGCTCTCCCTGCTGCAGCCACCACCAGGGCAGGGAGTGCTGCAAGGACCAAACCAGGCAGCACTGCAAACCATCCTGTTAGCTAGTCCAAACTTCAGCATTTTGGGGGCAAATTTCCAGCACTGCCCTCACCCCACAGCAGCTGCCACACTCCTCATGCTGACTGTGCCCATGTGGGTCTCAGGATTCAAACCTCCACCTCTGGGACGTGGTGCAGGTCCCTCTGGGATGCTGCCCCACAAAGCAAGGGGAAAACAGCCTCTCTTGCTGCATGCTGCAGCAGAAAGGCATTGCATCCCTGCTGCCTGCTCTCAGTGGAGGGACAGCGAGGCCAAATGAACCGGGATTGAATAAAATCAGGGTGTTTTTTTCTGACAACACAACTTGCCTGCAGTTCCTCTGCCTCCTCCTGCTGCAGGAGCTCATCCCACGCCGGGGCTGGCATCGCTCTGCTCCTGCCCCCCCTCTCAGCCCCTCGGGGGGATCGTTTGTCACACAAACAAACAGCTCTTCCCTCGTTAGGAAAATCGATTCGCTCAAGAGTGACATGTGGCATGTCAGGTATCTGGCTGGGGGCGGCAGGATCTGCCCTCTCTGGCAGATTGAGATTCCAAGTAAGGAAAACAGGCTCTGTCTGGGTCCCTGTTCTCGTCAAGCACTTCCAGGACCAGTTCCAGTGATTCAAGGATTATTCCTGGCTCTGACTCATCTCTCTTTTCCCCACTGAGGCAGTAATACCTTCATTTTTCCATCTTTCCCTCAGTGGCCAGCTCTGCACAGCCTCAATTTTTTTGCTTCCAAGCATGTGGAAGGGTTTTTGTTTGCCATCCAGCATCCCTCTGGGCTGGACCCCTCTGTGCTGTTTGTTTGCTCTGCTTCTAGGTGTTGTTTTCTTATTAATAACCCTCCTTTCCTTGCCATGGATCTCCCTGGACTAAGTGCTACCAAAGTATTTCAGTTATCACAGGCTGTGCCTTTACAGCTGAGCTGTAGGCAGTGCTCCAGACACACACATCCCTGGTGTGGAGCCTCTTGCTGGTCCTTCTTCAGGCTCTGTCACCAGCTTCTGTGGCACTATGGCACCCAATGCTCCTGTAGCAGCAAGGGAGAGGATACCACTAGCAGGATGTACAAGTGCTGCATATGCCAGAGCTGTTGGTATCTCAGGTTGGGATCACAGCTGATCTTTGGATCAGCAGGTCCAGAGTTTGTTCCTAAGTTCCTGCTCCTCTACTCCCCAAACAGCATCAGAGCAAGGAGCCCAAACTTAGAGATGTGAGGGAAGGAGATATGAAATTGCACCAGCTTGGGGCTGGTTGTGTCCCTTGGTTCTCTCCTTTCACCTCCTCAAGGGCAGCAGAAGAGGAGAGAACACAGGGGATGTAGATCTAGTGCGAGTTTTGCTGTCCCCAAACTGCCACACCAAGGACAACCCAGGAGATCTGCCAGGCTCTGGTGCTGCCTGGTCCTTGTGATGCCACACACCAAGAGAGTCAGGGACTCTTAGCCCTTGCCAGCTGCCTTTGACTGATGCTGCAGCACCCTCTGCCCTACAGCCCTTTGGGTTTGGGTGTAAGGCTGAGCTGAGTGCTGATAAACCCAGTTTGAGGTGGGGATAGATCTGGGAGGTAGCCAACTGGTGAAAAAAACCCCCAACAACCAAAATAAACGTGTAAGAGAGAATCTCCTAATTTTTCCATGTGGGAAAGGATGAAGACACAGCATGAGCATGAATGGGAGCAGTGGGACAGCCCCAGAATGTGCTGGGCAGGGGCAGGTCAGGATCTGCTGCCTTCAGCTTGTGTGGATCCCCCCTGGACCTACAAACCACTGTCATCTCTACCCATGCAGCAACCAGCAGTCAGGGACTTGATTCCAGCAGCACTGGTGTGATTTTCCCCCCTCCCAATATTTAATTAAGGGCAGAGAAATCAGTGCTAGCTCAGGTAGGGAGAGACAGGCAGCAGGAAGGATGGGGACATGAAGCACAGCAGATTTGCACTGAGCAATTGTAATCACTTAGCATTTAATGCTGTAAAAAACCCATTAATTACCTGTAGCAATGAGTCACAATTATTTTAGATGCACTCAAGGGGAAAATTATCCTAAATGACAAATTACAGGTGAATTTGTGCACCAGGCCAGAGCCATCAAGAGCCAAGTCCCAGCACATGGGGAGCACCAGCACAGGGGGAAGACTGGAGAGCAACAGGCACTGCCCAAGGTGTGTCCTGCACCTCTGGGTGTCTCAGGACATACATGCAAAGCCTTTCACAGGCACAGGAGAGAGCAGCAGCTTGGAATCTGCACAAGGCATGAAATCCTACAGCACAGTGTGCCAAGCATGTCCTACTCTAGATTGAGCTCTCTCACTCCAAGCCAGTGAGATGTGGAAGAGCAGGACCACCTGGGTTAGCTCTGGTCAAAGCAAACCAGCAGAGAAGTAGCCAGTGAGAAAAGTTCAATCAAATCCATCAGGTCTAAAGTCTACAAGGCTCCACAGCCATGGTTGTGGTACACCCCAAAGCCACCCAGATGTGATACCACCCACCAGGGAGGTGCAGAGTGGTTGTGCTTCTGTCTTTGCTTCAACTAACTACTGCCACCTACCCTAAGTGCCCTCCCAGGAGCCCTGCAGAAGGTGAGGGTTCTATTGTCCATTAGTTCACACAATTCCTGCCCTTGGTCTGTGCCTGAGGATCTTGGGTCCTGCCTCTGTGAACCAGCAGGAGTTCTGCTATTAGTGTCCTCCTGTCCCCAGTGCCATCCCCCTGTAACACCAGGCTGCCTGTCCCTGCAGTTTCAGGTCCCTGTGTGGTGTTACAGTGCCCATGGGACAGTTGCAGTTCTTCACCTGCTGCCCAGCTCAAGGCTTGCACACCCAGACTGGTCCCAGTGTCACCAACAGAGAGGGCTGGTGCCCTCTCCTGTGCCTGTGAAAGGCTTTGGACTGTGAAAAGCTTTCCCTCTACAGCAGCCACTGAGACAGCCAGAGGTGCAGGACCCACCTGGGCAGTGCCTACTCCAGCCTCTGTTGCTCCCCAGTCCTCCTTGTGCTGGGACTTGGCTCCTGATGGCTCTGCCTTGGTGCACATCCCCTGACACTAAACCTGAGCCTGGCAGAGCACATCTCCAGCCCTGTATCTCATAGGTGGGGCCCCAGTTAGCACTCCAGCCTGTTGGGGTCAATACCACTGATCCCCCCAGGGTGCACAGTGCCTGTTGTCCCACCCACCATCCCTTTCTCTCCTTCATCTCCTGCCCAAGGGGCCCTGGAGCAGCAGGTTTGTCTCAGGAACACTGAACGTGGGGAAAGCTCTGCCAACCATCTGGAGCTTGGGCCATTTGTTTCCTTCCCTCTCCATCCTCTGGGGACAGGACAACATCTGCTAATAAGCTGGCAGAGCTCGGGAGATGATGGATGGACCTGTCGAGGATACGCTGGCTGGGAACGAGCTGCTCCTCTCACTCTGAAGTGGTTGTCTGGGACTAGTGCTCTGCAGGTGGGACCACCAAGGGCTGCACTGGTGGGGCTACAAATGTGAGCATTAACCCTGTGTCACTCCCTCTCGGCTCCATCCTCAGCATAGGGGATTTGGTCAGGGTGAGGGCACACTCAGAGGGTGCCACAGGGCAGCTCTGTGGTCACTGATCATCCCCTTTCCTGACCCTGCAACAGATCTGAGCACCCACAAGCACCAGAAGAGCAGCCATGTCCCTCCCTTTGGCCATGCTGGGAAG